CGGTTCAAAGTGGCAAGAATGACCACATGCACAGCACAACAACAAAAACATTGCTACGCCCTGGTCCCACTGCTACCAACAACACCAGCCCCCCCACAGCTGCATCCGCCTCCTCCTCCTCATCGTCGTCGTCTTCCATCCCCTCGCCCTCAATGGCGAACTCTGGTGGTGTGACTCCCTCGGCCGGCGGCCCTACCATGATCTGAGAATCATGGAGGATCGCACCCACTTGGAGTTCAGGCGGTGCAGCTGGTTGCGACCCAGAGAGAACATGCGCTCGCTTGCAGCGGACGTGGCAGAGATGGCAAGATAATCCCTCGCCATACGCTTCAGAGTCTACATGTTGGTGGGGGTGCGCCAGTACTCTAGCGCTGTCACGTCACACCCCACCCGATCGGACAAGTACCTGCTAACCTCATCATCCTGCACCTTCCTCCCCCCCCCTCCCCCCCTCCCCCGCCGCACCGCCTGGCTCGCCGACAGACGCGCCGCAAGTCGTCGGTGACTAGGAAGAAACAAGTCATCCTCGTCATTCCCACCCCCCCCCCCCCCCCCCCCCATCTCCCTCCTCCTCCTCTACAACGGGGCCAAGTTAGTCAATCAAGGAGCAAGTGACGCAACCGCAGCCTGGTACTCAGCCACGCGCTCGCGTACAGGCGTGATCACCTCGCCGGACGAGGGACGCGGACTCACAAACGACGATTGCCCTAAACCCTAAACCCTAAACCCGAAAAATGTTTACTTCGGCAAACATGGGGGTGTAGCTCACATGGTAGAGCGATCGCTTCGCATGCGATAGGTAAGGGGATCGATACCCCTCACCTCCACATCCGGCTTTTATCTCCACTATGACCACTGAGTAGAGTTGCTGAAAGGATTTTTGGCACTAATAAATTTAATCTAGGGACAGCAACCCAGAGCATAGGGGTTGTTTTCCCTTCTTGTCTGAATGTTTTTCTACTTCTGCAAGTCCTGAGCTGTATGCGGCCAACCATACCAGCATAATTACACTTTCCAGTAGTGTACAGTACAACCTAATGGAAGAGGTGCCCAGCAAGTATTTCATGCTTCACAACAAGAGGCATTGAAGGAAGACATGGAGTGGTCTGGAGGAGGTCACGATGCAACCATCACATCCTGGCAACTGCAGCTGGCAGTGCTGGCTGAGTGGCTTGGCTAGTAGCACCATGCCCTGCCCTGCTCATCACAGGCTAGATCAAAGGTTTCCATGCCTCAAACAAGAAAATACCTTACACCACGTTTTCCGCTGCATCAACCAGAAAACATCCCCATGCCAAGGATGCTTTGCACGGGCCTCAGGCGTTGGTAGCTACAGCAAGCAGCGCATGGATTGTCCTGACCAGCAGCTTCATGCTCTCCCCTAGCTTGGGCTCTGGGTTAAGTTCCACCAGGTCCTCCTCCTCCTGCTCCACCACTGGCTGGATGTGTTTCTTTATGGCACTTAGTAGTTGCGGTACTTCCTTTGCACGTACTTTGCTGAGAGCTCCCACGCAGTCACGTAATGCCTGTGGGTAAAGGCATGCAAGGCATGGAATGGTATTCTTCAAAGCAGACCGACCTTGTTCAAGATAGACACACATTGACCAGAGAAGACACACATCAAAATAGAAACGTAATGGTTCAAAATAGACACATGTTTTAAGCTGACACACTTCGTTCAAAACAGGAAAAACAGGCATGTGGCATCTTAGCGAGATCATGAGCGCGAGAAAGGGTCACTATCTGCTCACCTTCAGGGCGCTATCTCCGGATTCCATCAGTTCCTGCTGCAGCCTCGCTTTATGCTCCTGAGTGTTCCGCAGCTGCTGACGCAGCCCGTTGCGCTGCTCCGTCATCTGCCAAGAACATTCCAGCATAAAAGCGAGTACCTAAACCAGTCTTTGCTTTAAGGAGATTAAGGGCGGCAAACCAGGAATTGGCCTCTACAAAACGGAAAGGGAGGGTGGGGATTGCTCGGCTAGCGTTTGTGTGTCAAAACAGTAGGCAGAAGATGTGTGTCCATGCTCACGATCGAGGGCACGCGAGCACACCCACACAGACACACACTTGCATGCACTCATACATACACGCGCCTGCCACCATCCCGTTACCCCCGTCCTCCGGACTTACCTCTTCCAATTCCGTCAAGTCTATCACTTCCCTCTCCGCCTCCCAATCTCCCTCCTGCTCCTCCAACTCTCCCCCCTCCTGCTCCTCCAACTCTCCCTCCTCCTGCTCCTCCCACTCCAGCTCCTCCTCTAGCTCCTTTACCCTCGCGTGCAGTTTCTCAATCTCCTTTTGACCCAAACTCACCCTTCCTTCCTGGCCGTCCATTTCTGCCTTGTGCCGCTGAGAAATCTCTGCATCCTCTTTCACTTTGGCTTTCAACGTTTCTATTTCGTTCGCCCGATCCGCCAGTAAGCGCTCACATTCAATAACCCTCTCCTTTGACTTCGCAGCCTCTTCTGCTCTCGCTTGTAGCAACTCAACCTCTTTCTCTCGCTCCTTGAGTGTGACTTCCATCAGTACAAACCCTTCAACCCGGGCCTCCAACTTCCCTTTCTCCTCTCGCAAAGCAAGCACTGTCTCATGCAGCACTTTGTTTTCAGAACACTGGTTGCTTAGCTGCAGCCGGAACTCATCGAGCAGGTGATTGAAATCTGAATGGAACGGGTGAGGATGGAGACGCAGAAATGATATGCAAGCTATATCCGTTTTTTGGCGGCACTGCCAACGCACTCATTCAGGGAAACCATACAAGAGAGGAGGGCAGAAGTTGATGGAAAGCGAGAGAAGCAGAAACAAAGGCAAGAGAAGTTGCCACCAAAAATATATTCTTGTTGTTTGCGTTATTTTTCTCCACGTACTTTTCTTTACACTCGCACTCTCGAACCATCCAACGTGTTCCCATACCCCTCTCTTCTGCTGGCTCACCTTCATCTGCCTGATTCCTACTTAACTGATAACTAATGACTTCATCACTTGATCTCTGGTCGCACTTGTTCACAGAAATAAGGAGCATCACTTTCACACCATCCCTCTACCCATCATTCCCCTCACTCACCATCATCTTCCCGCTTCCTGCTCTGCTGACGCTTCAACACTATCTCCTCCAGAACGGCCAAGCCTTTGCTGCTTTCTGCCATCGCTGTTTCAAGCTACAGTCGAGAAGAAGAGTGTTCGAGTGAGAGTGAGAGTGAGAGTGAGTTAGAGAGAGAGAGGAGGAGGAGGAGGAGGAGGAGGAGGAGGAGGAGGAGGAGGAGGAGGAGGAGGAGGAGGAGGAGGAGGAGGAGGAGGAGGAGGTTTCAAAGAAGGTTGATCTTGTGCTGATGTGCATTTACAGCTATGCAGCCTTGTCTCAGCAGAGAGCTTCAGCGAGCACTATAGAAATTGATATGTCCATATCTGAAGGTACAACCATGAAAACTTTGCTTTGTCTTATGCTAGTAGTTCAATTGCATAAATCATCGTCGAAACGACGTACCTATGGTAAAGTGGATCGGTCGGACGCGAATAAGACAAAGGCGCGACGTTGCTATACGAAACCGTTTACGTGGCGCTCGCGAAAAACCGATTGAATATCTGGACAGAAAGGTCTTAGAACCGATTGTCGCGATCTTGCGGTAACAGAAGCACGACGAACTCATGACGTCATCTAGGTTGACTGAAAACGGAGGGAAAATGGGAACAATCACGGAACGGCAATCTCGAAACGCTAGGCGGGGGAAGCGGGACAGCCAGAAAAAGAGCGAATCGAAGTTTCGCTACAGAGCTCTTCGCCTGGTACCCGCTGCAGGGAGTTTCGGCTCTCACATGATCACCCTCTAACCCAAAATCTAGGGCTGGAAAGCCGCCACCCCTTGGGCCTGTGGCGCAAGGATGTGCGGGGATGGCGGAAGGTGCGCCGCGACGCAACTGTCCCCAAGGCGCAACGCATGGCAGCTTACGCGCTGATCTACACCCACAGTTGGTCCCTGACTGATAAGCAGCGGCGTTATTCAAACCTTCTAGGGAGTTGTTCTTGGGCGCTCAGGGAGTACTGGAACGCAGACATCCAAGCTGTGTGAATTTGGTTGGAGAATGAATTCGCCTCATTCACGCTGATCTGGATTGAGCCTGTCGTGTCGAGCAAGCCGTTGATGTTCTCTCGAGGCTGGGCTCTGTAAGGTGTGCTGCAGTATAGCGCATTCGCATTCACTTGTATGATACGTCGTGTGTACAGTTTTTATTCGTTTAGGAATGAACAATGTTAAGATCTCATGTTTTTTGTGCCATGAGGACAGAGAAAAATGTGTGGTGCTATTGGATGTGATAGTGTAGGCAGATGTATCTGACATGCATCCCTGCATGCACCTCACCAATTTTTTCACTTGGTGTACATAGCTTTTGCATTGGAAACAGCATCATGATAAAACACACAAAAAGATATCCTATCATAAAGTTGTATCTGTAGTGTAGAGTAGGGTGACTCCTAACATCACAAGGCGCGGTTGGAAATGATCAATCGGGCAAATGCAGACTCGTTAACCGAGGAGCTGCAGCCAGCAGTGTCCTGATGGTCTCAACAAGCAGTTTCATATTTTCCTTCAGCTTGGGCTCAGAATCGACTTCCACCAAGTCCTCCCCTTCCTGCTCCACCACCGGCTGAATGTGAGTGTTGATTGCGCTTATGAGCTGCGTAGTTCCCACTGGAGGCAGTTGGTTGAGTTCTCTCACGCAGTCGCAGAGAACCTGCAGAATATGCGGGAAAACAGATAGACATGAATATAACTCTCCAACCAGAGGCACTCTGCTACCAGAGGCACTCTACTTCCCCCAACCACCCCTCCCCCACGCCTCCCCCCACCCCTACTCCCCCCCCCACCTTCAACACACCCTAAAGGCACAAGAGTACAGTGAATGCAGTCAGGACATTGACTTGCATTATTGCAGACAGAAGCAACAGCAAGAATCACTAACCATGGGGGCAGGAAGGTTGATTTGTGACTTTCTGCACTTGCCTGAAGAGACATATCTCGGGCTTCCATCATTTGTTGCCGCAGCTTCCCCCTGTGCTCCTGGGTGTTCCTCAGCTGCTGGTGCAGCCTGTTGCGCTGCTGTGACACCTGCCAAGGTGGGAACACACCAAATTGGATTCCTTGTAAGTGGCTGCTTGCTTTAGGATGAAAAACGACATCAGAAATAAAACTTACGAGAGATAGGAAGATATAAACATGTAATAAACATGCTCGCACAAAAAAACGCTCACACATGACATCTGCACATTCACGCGCATCTGCACGTTCACACATCTGCACGCTCACACATCTGCACGCTCACACAATTGTTGCACTCCCACACATTTGCACATGTGTGCATGAGCTTGCGCATATGCATGCGCACTGAACCCTACCTCTTCCAGGTCTTTCTTCAGATTCTTGATCAGCATCTCCAAAGGCGCAGCTTCCTGAATCTTTTTTTCCAGATACTCTACCTCGCGTTTCAACTCTCTCACTCTAGCTCTCCAGTAGCTGGCTGATTCTTCCGCCTCTGCTTCGAGTTTCTCAGCTTTATCCTTCCACATCCTCATTTTCGCTTCCCAGTGGTCCGATTCTTTCCTCCATGCCTCCAGTTTCTCATGCTGTCGTCGACTCTTACTCTCAAGTTTCTCATACTCATGAACCTTCCTCTCAATATTCTCATACTCTCTAACCCTAATCTCCAGTTTCTCATAATCCCTGACCCTACTCTCAAGTTTCTCATACTCCTGAACCCTCCTCTCCATTTCCTCATATTCCTTAACCCTAATCTCCAGTTTCTCATAATCCCTGACCCTAATCTCCAGTTTCTCATAATCCCTGACCCTATTCTCCAGTTTCTCATACTCTTTGCACCTAATCTCCTCCAGCATCTCACACGCTCTAACCCTTCTCTCCAGTTGCTCATGCTCACTCAGCCTAGCTTCCACGAGCTGAAACCCCTTCAACCGGGTGACCAGCTCGATATTTACTGCACGCAGGGCAGCCAATGTGTCACGCAGCAGCCCAATTTCAGTTGACTGGCTGTGCAGCTGGAGCAGGGCTTGTTCCACAACCTGAGTTAACTCTGTCGGGGTAAAGAGGTGTGGATAGTTTGGTGATGTTGAGTCCAATCGTGGTATGCCTGGGTTAAAACAACAAGACGCAATCAAGACACCTGCAAAGCTTGTCCTCGCACAACACTTGATAATATTGTTTCTCAGCATTTGCTGCTGAACCTAAGCATTTTGTGCAGAAGGCACAAGAAGAGCTTTGAAGCAAATACTTAATGTTGAAACACCCTTAAAAGTGCCATGAGGTGGAAAAGATTACTACCCACCTGCCCCCCCCACCTCCCCCAAAAAAAGGAGAAAAAAACTTCAACCTCTGTTCACCACCTTTCATGATACGAGCAAATGCACCCCACTCTTCGCCCGTCCACTCACCATCGTTTGCCTGCTTCCTGCTCTGCTGGCAGTTCTTCAGTTTCACCTCAAGAATCGTCAAGTCGGCTATACTTGCTGCCATGGTTGCTACAAGCTGCAGTGCAGTCACAACGAGGAATGAGAGAGAACAGAGGAGGAGGAGGAGGAGGAGGAGGAGGAGGAGGAGGAGGAGGAGGAGGAGGAGGAGGAGGAGGAGGAGGAGGAGGAGGAGGTGAATTCAAACGCATGATAATTTTGTATAATTTGTGTTTTAGCTATGCAGCTTAGTGTGAGCAGAAAACTTCGGTGAGCACTGAAGGAACTATATTGACCATATCTGAAGGTACAACCATGAAACGATTGCTTTGTCTTATGCGAGTTTTTGAATGCACGGCTTATTTCCAAAACGACGTACCTATGGTGAAGAGGATCGGTTGGACGGGAATAAGACGAAGGCGCGACCTGCTAGACGAAAGCGCTTAGGTGTCGCACGCGTAGATTTGACAAAATCTGTGACAGTTTTGGTTAGAAAGGTCTTGGAGTCCAAGGGTGTAACATAAGCACGACGAACTCATGACGTCATCTAGGTTGACTGAAAGCGGAGGGAAAATGGGAACAATGAAGGAACGGCAATCACGAGACGCTAGGCGGGGGAAGCGGGACAGCCGATCTGAAAAAGAGCGAATCGAAGTTTCGCCGTGTAAGCGAAATGACGGAACCCGGCGTTCGCTACAGAGCTCTTCGCCTGGTATCCGCCGCAGTGAGGTCGGCTCTCACATGGTCACCCTCTAATCCAGAATCGAGGGCCCACTTGCCGCCCGCCCTTGGTCCATTGCGTGGCGCAAGGCTGTGCTGGCGGAAGGTGCGCCGCGCCGAGAGGCAACTGTCCCCAAGGCGCAACGCATGACAGGCAGGTGACGCGCTGATCTACTCCCGAAGCTGGTCGCTGACTGATGTGCAGTGGCGTTCTCTCTAAATCTTCTAGAGATTGGTTCCTGTCGACGCAGAGTATTGGTACGAAGACATCGAAGGTGTGTGAATTTGGTTGGCGAGCTGACCGCGGGCATAAAAAAACTAAAACCCATTCGGAACGGCATCCCGTTCGGGAGCCTCAACCCTAAAATTTTAGGGTTTTGGCTCCCGAACGGCATGCCCTCCATGCGGGGTTTATTGTTTTCCTTGCCCGCGGTCAGCTTGCCAGCTCATTCGACTGACAGCTGACGCTGGCAGTCGAATGAACCTTTCAGTGTGAACTTGTTTATGTCACGCTATGTTAAGGGGGGATTTACTGTTCATTCCGAACAGTACTTTCCAACTCACCCTTATCCTTATCTTCCTTGATTTCCTAGTGCCACGTGGCACTCTACTTTTCTTGCCTTCAATTCCTAGTCCCACGAAGTACTTTCCGACATTCGATCTTGCATGTTATATCAACCTTGCTTATACTTGCCATAATCAATCAATTCTCATTCAACTCTTCTTCAATTACTCAGTAACTTCTTCGCCTATTTCGCCAATAGTTCTTTCGCCAAAGTCTTCCGCCGCATTTCATCCTCGACCTAGTCGACCCTGCTAATTCTTTAGCGGACTTAGGCCGTCGGGCCTAACCCTTGGTATCAGAGCCTTCGCGGGGAACGACTTCCAACGAGCGACCGTCGACGACGAGACTACGACGTCATCGTCCCGCGGTGCCGACTTGCAGACTTGGAGTCGTCGAGCGAACATGGACGAAACCGTGCACGCTCTCCCCCACGACATGGGCAACATGTCAGAAGTAGTAGTATAAAGAAAGAATGAAGAAAGGAGGATGTTCACTAGCAAGCAGTTGGACACATATAGCAAACCCTAATTGGGCTGTACTCACTATGGAGTACCCCACTGCAGGCTAGACAATTATAACATTCTGACACACCCCCATAGCCAAAGTGGGGTGTAATCAGCACAACAAGCAAGCATAGTAATAGTTCACAATTATAAGCAAAGCTAGAGGTAATCACAGCGGGCAAGTGAGGAGGAGGAGGGACTGTGAGAGGAGAGAAGATGAGAGACGGCGGCTGAAGCTGCAGACACACGGGCAACAGGAGCTGCTGGCACAGTGGCTACCGGGACAGTGCGCCCCGGACTACTGGAGTAACTGGCTCACGGGCTACGACGAGCTACAGGAGCAACGGACCCTCGGGCGACAGGCGCAGCAGACTCTCTGGGCTACCAGGACATTGCGCCCCGGACTACAGGTGCTGCGGACGACAAGACAGCAGCCTCCGCTCAACCTCCTCCAACTGTCCCACACACCCCCCACACACCCACTGCTTCACTCCTAACTCCACTTGCACGTCACCCCCCTAGTACCACTCCTTCGGCTCCCACACACCCACCCCCCTCAGCGGCAGCTGCAGCACTGGGAGACGGAGGAGGAGGAGCAGGGGACGACGCACAGAAACTGCACCCCCATACCCCCCACCCCCAAACCCTAATTCAGGAGAACGGGCAGCAGCAGGGGTGGGGCGCCGTCAGAAGCACGGGGGACAGCGGGCAGCGCAGGGGAAGAGGAAACAGGGCGCCCACGGGCCTGGCGCAGCCCGTACGAACCGCGTGCGGGCGGCCCGAGGCGCGCCCTGGCCTGGCGCAGCCCGTACGGGCCGCGCGCGGGCCTGGCGCTGCCCGTACGGGCCGCGCGCGGGCCTGGCGCAGCCCGTACAGGCCGCGCGCGGGCCTGGCGCAGCCCGTACGGGCCGCGCGCAGGCTGTACGGGCCGCGCGCGGGCCTGGCGCAGCCCGTACAGGCCGCGCGCGGGCCTGGCGCAGCCCGTACGGGCCGCGCGCAGGCTGTACGGGCCGCGCGCGGGCCCTACGCAGGTCGCGCAGGCCGCGACGGGTGACGGGGGGCGACGCGCGGGTCCCCGTCGCCCGTCGCAGCGCCTCCCGGGAGCGACGCGCGGAGTGACGGGGCAGAAAGCCGCCGCGCGCCTCGGGGCGCACGGCGGGCAGAAAACCGGCGCGCGCCTCGGGGCGCACGGCGGGCAGAAAACCGCCGCGCGCCTCGGGGCGCACGGCGGGCAGAAAACCGCCGCACGCTCCGAGCGCGCGGCGGGATGAAAAATCCGTCGCACGCCACGGGGCGTGCAACACACAGAGTAGCAGTAGCAGCGGAAGCAGTGAGGTGCTGGGCCCACCCACAGGATCGACCCAAGGGGATCGACCTGCTCTGATAGCATGTCAGAAGTAGTAGTATAAAGAAAGAATGAAGAAAGGAGGATGTTCACTAGCAAGCAGTTGGACACATATAGCAAACCCTAATTGGGCTGTACTCACTATGGAGTACCCCACTGCAGGCTAGACAATTATAACATTCTGACACAACATGCTTGCCGAACTCATGCGCCAACTTCAAGAGTTGACGTTGGAAATCGTGAGGTACGAGCTGAAATTTAACAGCTTCGTGAATTGGCTTCTAACCCCCATCGTCATGCTGCACCAACTCTTGCGCCCAACACGTCGACTGGCGCGGAAGCGCTGCCAGAACGTCGAAGCGCACTCCAGCCGCAGAAACCCGAGTCGTTCGACCCAAGTCAACGCGACGCGAACGTGCGGACGTGGCTCTTCATGCTGAACAACTACTTCGGCGCGAGCGGGGTGCAAGAGGCGGACGCGCAGCAGCGGATCGAGTACTCCGTTACGCTGCTGAGGGGCCCGGCCTTGGAGTGGTGGCGCCGACTCACGCAAACTGCTGTAAGAAGGGCTCAGACAGACGGGCATCAACAGGGCGTGGGGCATGCAGCTGCAACTTCGAGCTTAGGGAGTTTAGCTTTGGGTGTTACCACGGTTCCGACCACATGGGAAGGATTTGAAGCGGCGCTGAAAAGTAGGTTCGATTTGGTGAACGCCTCCGAAGCTGCTAGGAAGCGTCTGCGTCATTTCCGGCAGATAGGAAACGTCCAGGAGTACACACGACGGTTCTTGAGCATCTGCAACGAAATAGATGACATCACGGAAGCAGAGATGCGCGATCGCTACCTCGAAGGGTTGAAGCCGGACATAGCGGAAGCTATAGCGATTCACGGGTTGTCCACCTTCGAGTTAGTTGTCGCAGCCGCAGAACGCGTCGACGCAGTACGAAGTCGACGGGGTCGTGACGATCGCGATAGGGGATACAACAGACCAATCAACGACGCTCGATCGAGGGACGGACCATCGCCCATGGAGATTGGTGCAGTTAACAGTGACGGCTCACAGAAGACGAGTTTTAGGGGGAACTGTCACTACTGCAAAAAGCCGGGACACATGAAGCGGGACTGCCCACAGCTTAAAGAACGGCAGCAGGGAAACGGAGACCGCCAGTAGATAGCGGGTCGCTAGCTGGTGTGGAGGTTCCCGTACCCGCCACGTCTACCAACGTAGAGGAGACGGCTTTGCAGCA